AGGGGCAGCCCGGGCGGCGGTGGCCCCGGCGGCGGCACGGGCTCCTCCGTCTCTGGCAGAGCGGACTTTGCCTCCCTCGGCGCGAGCGGCTCCAGAGCTTCCTTCCATCTCGGCTGCTGCTCCCTCAACTGGGGGTCTCTCTCCCTCTGCTCGCTCTGCCTCAACTGGGGCTCGGGAGACCTCGATGGGCGGGCCGTCAAGTGCGATTGGGGGGCTGTCCATGTTGACGGGAGCGTCGTCGACCCCATGGGGAGCGCTATCAATCTCGACTGGGGGTCGGGAGACCTCCATTGGGGGGCTGTCGCCTGCGAAGCCAGGAAGCTCTCTGGCAGCCTCTCGGGATGGGCGGCCGGGGGCGTCGGGGACCCAGATGTGGGGCGGGTCTGCGCCGGCAGCGAGGAGGACCGCACCCGGGGCCGAGGCTGCTGTGGACCGGCCGTCGGGCTCGTGGCAGGCTGGGGGGCGTCCGAGGGCTGGGCTGTCGCCCCCAGAGGCTGCTCCGTTAAGATCAAATGGCACAGCCTCCTCAGGGGGAGGGCTGTAGCCTCCGAAGCCAGGGCTAGGCAGCCCGAGGGCTCGGGGCTGCTCGAGGGGTATGGTGGGGACCCCCAAACCTGGGCTTTCCAGAGCAAGGACCCCGAGCTGCAAGGGAGCTGGGCTGACAGCTCCCTGGCCAGGCTGCTGCAACTCGAAGGGCATGGCTTCCTCTGGTGGAGGGCTGTAGCCTCCCAGGCTTGCTCTGGCACCATCGAAGGCTCCAGGCTCCACGGCTGCCGGGGCTGAGGTTCGGAGGCCTGCACCAACCCCAGGCTGGGATTGGGGCTGCCCCAGGATGGGCCAGAAGCCTCCCGAGCTGGGCTCCTTGATCTCGAAAGGCATAGCTTCCTCAGGAGGTGGGCTGGAGCCTCCAAGGCCTCCGGCTTCCTCGATGGACTGTCCGAGGTCCTGGGATGAGGGCCCGGAGACCTGTGGAAGTCCCTGGGCCTCCAAGTCAGCCTCGACGGGGATGGGCTCGCTGACAGACGGTTCGGTCTCCATTTCTTCGGCTGCGCCAGGCCCAGGACTGGGGGCAGCTGCCCCTGGGGCCTCCAACGGTGGCTGCTGGGGCTGTTCCCCGAGCTCAAGGGGGGTATCGCGTTGTCCTGACATATTATTGCCGTTGAGGCAGTTGCGCACGCCCATAACACGGTGGCGGCCTCTTACAATAATTTTGGGGCCCCGTAGGACGGAGCACCCAACCGAACTAGGGTGAAAAAAAAAATTTGGAAAAAAATCAAAGTATCACCTCGAGAGTTCTCCAACCTCACTGTCCAACCTGTGAGGTCTGGAGGTTCGAGGCCTCGAACCCTAGACAGTGGCAGAAGCAAGTCTACCGCTGTTGGTGGAGCCTTGGCCCCTTCTTGGCCACTTTTTATCCCCTCAGGCTGCCACCTGGTTCCCCCCTTGTCTTGCTCGTGTCCCCTCCTCTGTCCCTGCAGTAGGCCAGCCCCGCCTGCCTGGGTCTGAGGAGCGCGCCGATTCGGTCCGAAAATCTCTCGCAGTACCCTCTCTCTGCCACCAGGGGATGCTTGTCCAAATGCTGGGCCGGCTCCGGTAGCTGGCTCTTGCCGCCGGCAACCCCAGACTTTGGGTAGGGGGGCTGGTGAGCGCCGGCCTCGCAGGGATGTTTTGGCTCCTTCCACTGCTCTCCCAGACTGGTTTGGAGTGCTTCTCCTCGCCGCTCCCTCGGCCAGAGAGAGAGAGCTCTCCTGCGTTGCAGGACACGTGACGCAAGACGTGGGCCCTGGGCTGGTGGAGCGCAGGAGCTGAAACCCTCCCTCCCGGACCCAACGACTCTCCTCCGGGGGGAGGGGGGGACTGCGGGAAGCTTTCATCACCCCCGGATACCCCTGAACCCCTCTGCCGCAGCCCCCAGCCCCGGCAGACACGATCCGGAGCAGCTCTATTTTTCAAGCGCAAGGCTTTGGGCACCGGGGAAGGTGGGCGCGGGTGCACCGCGATGCGACAGGTGGTCGTGAGCCCACCGGAAGGGGGGTGGGGGAAGGCGGGGGGGGGGCGAGAGGAGGAAGGGGTGAGGGGCTGCCGTTTGCTGGCACACTTTGTTTTTAAAACGCCGTAGGGCACTTTCCAGGTTGCTTTTGTTTACTGCTAGCTGAGGCTGGTTTTCATAAAAGCACTTCCATGTCCCCCATCCCCACCACACTCTGGGAGCCTCCGCAGTGGCGCAGACCGGGGGTCTCTTCCCCCATCCCCCGTTTCTATGTACGGTGATGCAGCGGAATTAGAGGGTCTCGGGTGCGCACCGCTGAGAGCCGGTGAAATTCCCCAGGCATCGCCGCGGCGGCACCGACCCCGGGCGCGCGGAGAGCACAGGAAGACCCCACGGAGTGCAGGCCTCAGAGCTCCACGAGTCCTACCGTTCTGGGGAAGGGTGAAGGGGATTTGGGATGAGGTTTAAGGCCGGTTTGGGGTGGTCTTAGCCCGGACAACCTTGTGCGCACCGGCTCCAAACCACATCCACTGTGCTGCGCCCGCGGAGGCGCACCGCTCCCTGTCTTAGGTGCCCGCTGCAAGATCAGTTAGCCCCTCCAGTACCACCACCCCGTGACCCCTCTCCAACCGCCTGCCAGCCCATCTCCTCTCACTGTAGGTCTCCTGGGTCGGTCACTTTACTTTTCCACTGCTAGAGCCCGCTTAGGCGGCACCAAGCCCGGGCACAAACCCAGCAGCGCGAGCTGCGCTCCCGTTGCCAAAGCGCGCAGTAGGCTCCGTGTCCGCACAGGGAAATACCCACACCGTCTGAGTGGGCTTGGCACTGGCACACGCACTCGCTGGGTCTGGGGTCTGCATAGGGATTTGGATCCGCAGGGAAAATTGCTACTCGCGGGTCACGTAAAACCCTGCCGGCAGGTATCAGAGCAGTTTCGCCGGCAGGTGACACGGAGCGCGAACCAACTTTAGGTGCAGAGCAGCTGGGCAGGGGCAGGTCGTCGCCTGGCCTGGGTAACCATGGGAGAGAGTGATGAACAGGCGACTGGCACACGGGATGGGCTGCGGCAACAGGACGCACCGCCTAGATCGCGGTATCCACCAGCCACGGGCAGGAGAACCACGGCACGGTCCCATCCCGTTAAGTCTAACGCACCCTTCTTAGAGCGGCGGTACCACAGCCACACGCATCAGGGCACCCCACTCCCCGCGTCCACCATCTACCAACCACATGGCTGCATGGATGGAGGAAAGTTCACAAAGTCGGACTCCTGGGTAACGTTTGGGGGCCCCAACGGTGCATCTTCTCCGCCCTCTGGGTCTACACACTTGCAAGTACCATCACTGAACTTTGGTTCAAACTTTGGCCAACTATCCCCCCCACATAATGGCTTAACCGCTTAGGCAACCACTGAATGGGCCAACTAGGTCCCAACAGCCAACGCACTCCCCCTGCGACCCCAGCGCCAGGTCAGCCATTGGGCTGGGGTCACGCCAATCAAGGTTGCCTAGCGAATGAGCAGGGGGCGTCGGACCGGAAACCGGATATGGGGGGGAGGTCCAATAGGGGGCGCCGCGTTGGAACGCCCAAAGAGGTTGTGCTGCTGGGATGGCTAAAAGGCGTTGGTTGGTGGGCGGGCGTATGGCGGCCAGACCTGAGAAGCCACGAGGCCGCCTCGCGCCGTGGGGTCACTCTCCCTGACGCCACAGGTCACAGAGGCTGGGTGGGGAGGTCAGGGGCCCCGAGGGGCCAACCCTTGGTCACCCAGATGGCGGTGGGCGAGCCTATCCCAACACAGGAGGCCGCCGCTGGCGAAGGCCAGGAGAGAGAAGATTGTCAGGGCCTTCAAGTCGAGGGCCAGGACCCCACCCCGAGGCAGAGCCACAGCCCAGATGGATAAGGAGTTGAGGCCCAAGGGAGCTGAGAACTGCACAAGTGGAAGGTCAGTAGATGTTGGGATTGGAGCCTCAGGGAGGCCACGATGGGGACCCGCAAAGGGACGGTTTACTCCCACATGGCCTCGCGCTCAGCCTACTCCACTTGGGTTGGCGCAAAGTTGAGATCTCTTTATCAAGACGCCACCCATCAAGCAATGGGTACAGAGCCTCTTTGTTCAACACGCTCATGGGCCTTTGGGACCTCTTTGTTCAAGACTCTGTTGGGTTTCTTGAGTCTTTGCCAGGGCAACAGATCCATGGGGTGGGGGAGGATCAGGATTGGGCAGATCCCAATCTTTTATCCTAAAGAGTATAGCAACGTAAAAATGAAAGAAAAGACCACCAACTGGGAGACTTGGGGAGTCTTCAGGGAGGAAATGGTGTTTCAAGTGGGGCCCCATGGAGAATCACCACCTTGGCTGTGTATGGAAGGTGGGAGGCTGAGACCTTAGCCTATCATGAACAAAGCATCCAATGGCAGGAAACACGGGACATGGCCCCGGAATGGGAACAGGCCATCTTAGCTGGCACTCGGAGTAGCGACAGAGAGAAGGCAGGAAAGGTTGGATAGGGTTTCTGAGGAAGCCATGGATGATCGGGCAAGCACTTCTGAGGCTACTGTGGTCAGAAATGGAGAAGACCCTGAAAGATTCTTTTGTCCTGCAAAGTGACGCTTTGAGGCCAGTTTCGGGAACAATTGAGGCAGCGTGGAGGATGGTCCTGCTGAACAAAGAAAGGAAAGAGGGATTCTGCACAAAAGAGGCTGTGACTGGTCGTAACCCTTCATGGAGTGACCCGTGCACAGTGAAGGAGGCGGGAAGGCAGAAGCAAGGGACTTAAGAGGGATCCCAAAGGACCAGGCAGCGTCTGTGCCAGAAGCGTACAGGAAGTGGGGGGGTGGGAGGGGGTGTGTGTGTCAAAGGCTGGCACCTGGATGGTGGGACCCTGGAGTGAGGCAGGGGCTGGTATGGTGGCTGAGCTCGTTTGGTTATAGATATGGCCATGTTGAAGGAAGCACGGGCAGGCTGCATGGAGCTCTTTATAGCACATTATTTGGGAGGATGGGTCTGAAGTTTAGAAGAGAGAGAAAGACCCTAAATTCAAATTGACATTCATCCTTATTGGGAGATGAAATCACTGCATCCGATAAAACTCTCCAGGGGAGAAATCTGTGTGGTGATAGAATCTTGAACAGAACAGTCTTGGAAGCGCTGGAGAGGAACGAGGCAGGTGGCAGGAGAGAGCAGTGAGGCTGGGAGGGGGCTGGTGGGAGCTCACGGCGGCGGGGGGGCCTTAAGAGGGCGTCAGCATGTGGAATCTAGACTGAGGGGTCTCAGCCTCCGTACTCTTGCCGTCTGGGGCTGGGGAATTCTCTGTCATGGCAACTGTTCCGAGCACTGTAGGATGGTGAGCAGCATCCCTGGCCTCTACCCACTAGATGCCAGTAGCATCCCCTTAGTTGTAACAACCAAAAATGTCTCCAGACACTGCCAAATGTGCTCCGGAGGTGGGGGGAACCGTCCCTGGTTGAGACCACTGTTGCAGGCTGTGAAAGGCCCATCAGGCTTGAGTAGGAATCACCTTAACTTCCAAGGTAAATCAGGACCAGGGAGAATAAAACCACCCCACGGTTCCCCTTGCTGTCCACTCTTGTTTATTTCTGTAGTGACTGCCTACCAGAATCTGAAAACCCCCAATCACTCGGGTAAGTGGGGTTGAGAGTACAACGCCACCACAGATGAGCAGTGGGGCTCAGTGTGAGACCCCGAAGGGTGGTCAGATGTGTGAGGAGCTGACTGACCAGAAAGACAGCTGGGTGGCCTGGCCACGGGGACCTGCAGAGCCCAGGATGGTAAGAGCTGTGGGGATCAGCTGCGGGGGTTGACAGGGGCCACCTGGACCATCTGGACTGTCCACTCATGGCAGCCATCTTGCTAGTCAGGAGAGAAACGTGGCCTTCACACACTGGCCAGTGGTGGGTGCCGGTGGGCGACCTCACCCAGGCCCAGCCCCACAAGGGGCATGGTTTTTAGAGTCTGCCGTTATGATTTGATAATAGTAAGGTACCTTGAACATAAGATTTTTCAATTCTGGCTGGATTTCCATCAGGGAAGTGGCAGATATTTGATCAAAGTGACCAGGAACGAGGAAGGAGAGTCGGTTACTAAGGAAGAGAAAGTGAAGACAGGCTCGTGGAGGTGCGCAGGAGAAGAGCGGGTAGGATGAGGAGAATAGCTGTGTGCCAGGGTCTGGAC